AGCTCGTCCCCGCCTCCCTAACCTGTCCTTCCTCCCACCTATCCCCTCCTCCCACCTCAAGCCCCACCCCCATCTCCTACCTACTAACCTCTTCCCACCCATTTGACCTGTCCGTCCTCCCTGGACTGACCTATCTCTTCCCTACCTCCCCACCTACACTCACCTTTACTGGCTCCATCCCCGCCTCTTTGACCTGTCTGTCTCCTCTCCACCCATCTTCTCCTCTTTCCATCTTCTATCCGCCTCCCCCTCTCTCCCTATTTATTTCAGAACCCCCTTCCCCTCCCCCATTTCTGAAGAAGGGTCTAGGCCCGAAACGTCAGCCTTCCTGCTCCTCCGATGCTGCTTGGCCTGCTGTGTTCATCCAGCTCACACCTTGTTATCCTAGAATTGGAGCAGCCTGTTTCAACGATGCTATCAACTTCACAACCCAGCCATTTACAGTCACATAAAACAATCAATGTAAGAGAAAAGCTTTCAATGAATTTCCACAGTTCCTGTGCAAAGATAGCCTGTGTTGTCATGCAATTACCACAACAAAGAGATACATTGATGGTAAAAATATCTCTCTTCCCTGGAAATATTCAGAACTTCACAGTGCACCATTAGCTAAGGAAATATTTCCAGTACAAGTAATGAGATAATATTATGTTTAAAAAGAACTCTAGAAACTGAAGAAAAAAATTCTTATGTTTGTAGAAGCAAGTCCTTCTTAATCATTGATTACCTGCAGATTAAAGATGATATTTTAAAAAAAGTACTTAGAAATTAATGAGCAAGTAAACTATTATCATCAGCCTGCTGATCATGCTACATCGGAACTTCTTACAGATCCTGGTCCTTATCTAATGGTGCATTTCCAATGGAACTCCAGATATGTGCTAGTCTGCAGGCAAAGTGCCATCATAGTGGTGTTATATCAAATGGAACTGGAGCCTGAATATTTAGGGTTCCAGTATTTGTTCTCTCTTCCCATCCTTTGTACGTAGCTATGCTTAAGAAAGACTATTAATGTTTACCCACCTGAGAATAGACCTCATCTCATTACAAATATCAAATACAGCCATGCAATTACAAAACACTGAAGATAACTGTAAGTCACTCAACTTGTTAAAATTCTTTAAGATGTTGTATTTCTTCATCATCTTGGCATGTTCATTACAGAATCTGAATTCATCTTCTCTAACATCTCAACCTATCACAAAGGAGAAACAAGATCTGGCACCTTAATGACTGCTGTGCCTCCCCTTTAAACAAAGCTGTCAGTGGAAGGGACGACAAGAAGGGCTGGCTATTTACTATGGGCTGAATAAAAAAACAATGAATGAAAAGTAAAGCAAAAACAGAAATTGCCCGAAAACCTCAGCAGGTCTGGCAGCATGTGTGGAGAGAAATTAGAGCTAACGTCTCAGGTCCAGTGTCCCTTCCTCAGGCCCTTCCAGCATCTGCAGTTTTTTTGAAGTTTAGAAAGAAAAGCAAAATACTAGTGATTTTTCATTACTTTCTTTGCCATGATGGAAACTTCTTAGTCACTGTGCTAAAATTAAAAGAAAGCAATTTTATTAGCCAGTGAAAGCATGATACATCATATCTTGCGATGGGAGATACAGCCCACAGTGAATCACTGCAAGGTAGAGATGAATGAGAACATGACACTTGATTTATACCATACGTAATATCTAAATGGTGGTCAACAAGTATAAATTTTGACCTGTCCTCAATTTTAGCTTCATATAAATTCTGCTCACACCTGAACCAAAGACAGAAATGATCTATATCTCTTTGATTAAAATATCGATGTATGGCTGTTTGAGAAATTGATGTAGATTGTAACATAGCAGCAAGATATTCACAATCATACAAAATGTGGCATTATACAACATGAAATAAATAAACCTTTGTATTGTGAAAATTATATTCAATCATAAAATGGGTAGGAAAAATATGTGATTTCATAATGATAGCTCAAACTAAAAGGTATTGAAACAAAATATTTTGTACCTATCCAATCACGTTAACTTAATTCTGATCATGGTTGCAATAGTTTCTGTATGCAATATTAAATACAAAACTAGAGGCAATTAAAACATTGATAATAACTATATTAGTTATACTTAAGTAAAGATCAAATAACAATGGAATATTCTGACAGATTGGTCAACTGGAGGGCATGAACGATGATTTTAACTTCAAGGTTTGGTATTCAGTGTTGAATCAAACATAACTACTGTAGAAATGGCATGCATCATCCAACCGAGAGCTAATTTTCCTGAAATCATTTTTAAAAATTTTCACCAGCAGAAACAAATTGTTGGTTAATGTTGTACTGGAGATGTAGCAATGTAGATTACAAAGAGCACTAAACAATATAAGGTGTTTCAAAATGTCATATGAATGGTCATTTGATTAATTTTTATTTGGAAACAATACAATTAAGTGGAACAATTAAGTTTCAGACTAGTTTCAAATCGAAAGATTATAAATGCAGTGCTTGTTTTCTGAAAGCATTCTGTATTAGTTGTGAAACAAAGATTATAAATCTTCATTTTTGAATATCTATTTCCTACACATGTTTCATGAGTTGGGGATGGTGACAAATGTTCTGACGCACTCTGAATAGTTTCAATGTAGTTCCAGACTAGGAGAAAGAGAGAGATGGGAGATTTGTGTGCTGCTACCATGAGTTACCCTGATTTTATTTTATGGATACACCTTTTAATCTATTCTCTGGTATTTCTAAGCATTTAAAGCTCTAACATCCACATATGGATAGGCTTAATCTTCTTCAGCTGCTTCATGAATGACCTTCACTCAAATATAAGTTTGAAGGTGGATATGGTTGCTATGATTGCACACTGTTCAGCATTATTTGCTCCTCAAATACTGATACAGTCCTCATCCAAATAGAGTAAGACCTGGTTAATATCCAGGTTGGGCTCACAAGTGGCAAATAACTTTTACATCCATCAAATTTCAGGCAGTGATCATCTCTAACAAGAGAGAACCTAACCATCGGCCCTTAACATTCAATTGCATGACCATCAATGAACATTGGAGATTGGAACACTCTGCCTCCGGAGGTAGTGTAGGTGAGGTAATGAAATAGCTTTAAGGCATGGGTAGATAGATTCTTGTCAGGCAAGTGAATCAAATAGTATTGAGGGTTGATGTGAATGTCGAATTTGAAACACAAATAGATCAGTCAAGATCTCATTAAATGGCAGAGGAAGTTGGATGGGCAAAATGGTCTACTTCTGCTCCTATTTTGCATGCTCATACTGCATTGTCAACTAATGGCAGGTTTCTCAAAACATGAGCTTTCCCTGCCATTTGTTTGTGTATGTTGTCTGCTCTCACATTACATTTTAGGCAAGATTTTCCAATGAATAGAATATCACATGCCCCTGTGTTTCAAATAATGAGACTGTTTCACTTTTCTTACAGGAGATTCCAATCAGAGCGCCATCAGAAATGCAGAGCAGTACCTCCATTCTGACTGTTCCCTTGTAATGCAGTACAGTGCTGGGAAGGCAAACCATGCCCCCTTTATCACAACAGTCTGTGATTTCAAGGTCCAGCATCACAGTCAGACACTTTGACAGCTCAGTGAAAAATTGTGAGTATGCAAGTTAAATGTGAGATAGGATGTCAGGAGCGTAAGGTTCCAGGTGGATCGGGGATACAGTGCCAAGGAAGGGAGGACTAGGTTGGTTGGGAATAGTTGCCAAGTCAGCAAGCTGCCGAGTGGGTAGGGGTAGGGTGGTAGCTAGGCAGGTAATGTGTCAGGTGAGTTTGGATGCCAAGTGGGTAAGTCAGGATGGATAGAAATATTGTCAAAGGGGGCAAAGGGTGTGGTGGCAGAAGGAATGTCAGATTCAATGGCACAGGAAGAGGGGACAGGTCTGGCAACAGAAGGCAGGGGTTCAGTAATGGGGATGGAGGAACCCAGGTGACTATTGGATTTGGTGGTGGGTTGAGTGGGATTTGGTCCTGGAAGGTTGGGCAGGGGTGATGTTGAGTCCAGCAGCAAGGTAGGAGTCTCGGATCTTGGTGGGGTGGGGGTGCAAGAATGATGTTGGGTCCACTGTTGGGGGGAGGGTGTGTTTGGGTCTGGTGGAGGGGGATGTTTATAAACTGGTGCTTCAGTCTACACACAAGAGCAAGAAGTGAGGAAATGTTTGGAAGAAGTTTGCAAAGAAACTTTGCTCTCAACAGTCCTTTCAGGAAAACCTGGAAATAAATCACATATTCCAATTGGAAGAGAATCAGAAATATCAAACAGCTTAACCAAGAAAAGCAAAAAAAATGAGGTTGATTTGAGTTGCCATTTACTGTCTGAGCTGAGACTCCATAGACCCATACTCCAAAAAGAAACTCACCCTCCATTCTATCTCTCTTCATTGCAACTGTTTGAGACTGTGCCAGATCATATGCAAACTTGGTATTCTGTTTGTTCCTGAGGTGAGCTCCCCATCAAATATCTGTTCTTTATCCAAGACTTCCAGCTCCAAAACATTAGCCATGTCTGCCCCTGACTCAAGCTACCGACTGGTGAGACCCTTATCTGTAAGTTTATTGTCAATCCACAACCTTTCAGCAGTATTGGCCCAAAATACTGAAGTTCCACCTCCTTAAAATCTAATTCTCTGACCAAGTTTCGTGTTGCCTGTTCTTATACGCCTTATTTGACTCCGTACCAAACTTTACTTGAAATGCTAACATTGCTTTGGCCCATCCTGTCAAGGTCCGTTGGTTTGATGGGTGATAATGACAATGAGATTGCTTCTATATCTCAGGCAGCAAGGTCCAAGCCACAAATATTCTAAATCAGCCTGTTCAGATATATTATAGACATATACTGGCGCAAGTGGTGCTTGAACTCAGATTTCCGAGCCTAAAGGTATAAACATTACTACTACAGCTGGAGAGTCTATGTATCCAAGACGTATATGACGTTTTCGGCGCTTAACTAAACGAAGTCTTGTTAGAACAAGTATGTGAAATTTTCATTCTCTGGTTTTAATTGAAAAGAATAAGAAGGTAGCTGTTATCAAAATAATCCGCTTTAAGAGTGCTAGGTTAGTGCCGGATAAATATTGAACAATTTTAAAACGATCTAGAATTATCTAGGTTTTGAATAATACAGTTCTGCAGACTTATGGACTGCCCTCCAACGGCCAAATTGCTGCAGTTTTACGGAAGAGAATCGCTGCCAGTTCTCCCGCTGTCACTAACATGCGGGATTACGATGAAATCACCGCTTTTCTCGGAGAATGGGGACCCTTCCAGATCCTCACCTTCTTCGTTTTAAGCCTCAGTGTCTTTCCCAATGGCTTCGGTGGAATGTCCATAGTTTTTGTCGGGGATATTCCTGAACATCGCTGTTTTATTCCCGGGAATCTCAACCTCAGTGAAGCGTGGATGAACCGGACTATCCCTCTGGAACAAGCCAAGGGGAAACTCCAGTACAGCAAATGTAGACGGTACCGGTTGGATGTGATCAGGAATCTTTCGGAGATATTTCCTGACCCAGATTCCGTCAATATTTCTGAGGTGGAACAGGAGCCCTGTTTGGATGGATGGGTGTACAGTAAGGATCAGTATATCTCCACCATCGTCAGCGAGGTAAGCGACTGAAGGACTCAGTGCTGACAGAGACCACAGTTAGTCAGGGATAGTTTGTGAAGATAAATGTTTCCAAAAACAATAGAAGCTCTATTTGAATCCAAACATGGCCAAGAGACTGTAATTCTTTATTTTGAATGGCCTTGGGGACAGATTGATTTTATTACTTTACCTTGATGTTTTCAGTGTTTATACATTTGAAATTTGAACTGAAAACGTACTTTTACCTTTTGAAAACAAATTCCCAAGAAATTTTACAAGGAAACGTCGTAGTCTCACATTTAGGAGACAGAATGTAAGAAGTCACTTTAGAGCAAACTATTTGAGAGTTGTGTATGGAATAAGTTAAGGGAAGCAGCTGTTAAGGAAGTTAATTTCTGATGCAGGGTCTGGGCACGAAACGTCAGCCTTCCTGCTCCTCTGATGCTGCTTGGCCTGCTGTGTTCATCCAGCTCTACACCTTGTTGTCTCTTAATCACCAATACTGTAGTTTTAAGACATAATTGGATATAGATTTTTTATTTTCAGAAAGCTTGCTTCAACAAAAACGATGTGGAAGGATGTATATAGTTTGGTAAGATATTTCATCAGTATCAGGACGAGTCAAACAGACTGCAATACCTTTTCAAGTTATACTCTGGATTATTGCTAACTATTTGGCTGGCTTCGATTTTTCCTGCTTTGTATGTACACGAAATACCTAGGCAATTTTCCATATTGTCCAGTAGATGCCAGTGTTGTAACTGTACTAGAAGAACTCAGGGGATCAGTAAGTTCTGGAGCACAAGTCTTCACGACAATTGCCAGAATTGTCAGGGCCCATAGCCTTTGCAATATCCAGTTCCTCCATTTGATTTGATTTGATTTATTTACGGATTGTGCTGGAGTATAATTCTGCTGCTGTTGATGGCCCACAGTGCCTCATAGATACCTAGTCTTGAGTTGCTAGATCTGTTCAAAGCCTGTCCCATTTTGAACAGTGATACTGCCACACCACACGATGGAGGGTACTTTCAACGTGAAGGAAGGACTTTGCCTCCTTAGGGATTGTGTGATGGTCTCTCTTACTGATACTGTCAGGAAAGATGTGTCTGTAGCCAGCAGAGTAAGGATAAGATCAAGTACAGTGGTAAATGAGGTCAGGTCAGTGATACAAGGTTTCTGCAATGTCTGTGTATTGTTCTTCCTACTCTGTGAATGAGGTATGAACATTGCTGGTCCATCAATTATTGTACCAGTGAACCGTCTATATCAAGATATCTGATCCACTGTCATTGATCTACGTCCAAACTTGGCAACTATTTACTGCAGTGATAATTATAACTTGTCATAGTTAGTAACTTATTGCTGTCAGTATTTCTGCTCTTAGCAGAAAACATTCTTACAATCTTTGGACTCATCTGGGAAGTCAACTATTTTGGGAAGATAGGGAGTTTAGTTTTCAGTTTTCTTTCCATTCATAATTCTGATGGTGATAAGCCACATTGGAGTTGAATAGATCAGTAATTCAGCAAAACTGTTTAAAAGTCAGTTTTATTTTTCAAAGGGGATTTATAGCTTGTACCCCACATTCAGATTCTCAATTTGCCTGTGGGTACTTTAGCAATATAGTTATATTTGCAATGTGGAAATTGCTGTAAACTTTTCAAATGCTTTGATATTGTTGTCTGTTATCAGATGTGACCATGTAGAATCCCTACAGTGTGGAAATAGGCCATTTGGCCCATCAAGTCCACACCAAACCTCCAAAGAGAATCCCACACAGACTCACCCCACTACCATACTCTTATCAGCCTGCAATTCCCATGGCTAATCCACCCAGCCTGCACATCCCTGGACACTATGGGCAATTCAGCATGGCCAATCCACCTAATCTGCACATCTTTTGACTGTGGGAGGAAACTGGAGCACCTAGAGAAAACCCACGCACACACGGGGAGAATGTGCAGACTCCACACCGACAGTCACCCAAGGCTGGAATCAGACCCAGGTCACTGGTGCTATGAGGCAGCAGTGCTAACCACTGAGCCACCCTAAACATAATCTGGGTCTCTGCATTACAGTCCAGTGAAAATTTCACTAGGCCATTGCGTCCCCACATCAGGGATGCCGCGGGTGCAGGACCCTACAACTGCATCAATAGCAGTGATATGTATTTTTTAAAATCTAAATACACTCTGATAAATAATCAATAGCAATAGTATAAGAAAATCTGCCAAACATAAATACGTCAGTCTGCACTCATTCCTGTCAGCAAGCAGGTTGAGTTTGTACTTATTGGAGTTTAGAAGAATTAGAGGAGACCATTTTGAAAAACATGCGAGGTTCTCAGGGGGCTAGACAGGGTAGATATGGAAAGGTTATTTCGCCTTGTGGCAGAGTCTAAGACAAGGGGGAATAATCTCAGAGTTAGACATTTAGAGATAGGCAGGAATTTTGGCCTCTCCAAAGGTAGTGAATCTTTTTGTGACTGAGTTATTGTCACATATATCTAGAAAGATACAGTGAAAACTGTTTTGTCGCCACAATCCAGTGCCACTTTGAGTTACAAAAAGAACAAAAAGAAATTACACAAGCAGAGTTCATCTTTTGTACGAGACGTCTTCAAATACAGCTCCAGCGCTTCTGCAAGGTCTCTGCGAGGTGTTCTGGACCTCAAGGAGACCCCACTCCAGGTAAAGCAATGATGACCCTGCCAAGAGTCCATGCTTCAGTGCCACCGCAACCAGGAGACACCATTCCTGGCACCACCTGTGCTACAGCCAACAACCCACCAAGTCTATGCTCCGGGCCTACCACAGCCAATAGTTCCCACTCCAAGCAGTGCCATCACTACATAAGCCCTTCCGATGCCGCTTGGTTTCCCCGTGACGCCTGAAGATAAAAGAAAAAAAGAGAGGGAGAAGGATGCAGCCAGCCTGGAGTGGATGGGCTCAGGAGCCCAAACACTACCTACTGTACCAGCACACTATCTTGAATCTGTGGGATTCTTTAGCACACAGGATTGTTGAGGTGGTTGTTGAGTATATTCAAGATATAACAGATTTGTATTAGTAAATGAATCAAAGATTATGGAGTTACAGCAGTAAAGTGAAGGCGAAGGTTATCAGATCAACCATGATCTCATTGAATGGCAAATCAGATTCGATGGGCTGAATGGCCTAATTCAACCCCCTATGTCATATATGGAAAGGTATTAGAAATTTATTGCTCTTTGTGTTCAGGTCAGTATACTACATGTTTTACTATCATTCTGAGATCTTCTATTCGTTTTGAAGTTCACTTGATACTTCACATACAGCAATAAATCATTTAAAATTGCAAAATGCTGCTGATCTTTAAAGAAAGTCTTCGTAGACAAACCTTTTTTCAATCGAACAGTGATAGACAGTACTATCTGAATTGATTGAGACTGTGACAAACTGCCTGGCTTTGTGTCTGTGCTAAGCAGCAAGGCATGACAGAGGTAATGCGAGCCTTTGGGCTCTGAATGGAAGTCGGGACACAAAAGGCAAAGTTAGGCAAAGCAAGGATGTTGTGAGCAGTCAGGCAGGTGCTAAGTGAGTGAGCACTAAGACAGTATAGTGAACAAATCTGAGATGCACCCCGGTCCATTCCATGAGCGATGTGCCTGTTGCTGTCAGTAGCAGCACAGCCAATGTAATTGAGATCCTAGGAAGATTACCTGAAATCTTTATCAACTTGAAGGCAACTTTGCCAACTCTTTCTGATCTAAGATGGGAGGGAGACCAGTAGTTTGTAGCGAGTGTTTAGAAGAATTTTGAATTAAAGTGATTATTCTGAACTTATTTCACATATCCATGTGACTGAGAACCTTTCTCCCTCAGTAACTACATAAAGTATACCAGTGTAATACAATGCTCTGCATTCACAATATACTGCTCCCCTGCGCCGTTTTGGTTGTTCCAAAAGAGTACCCCACATATACCAGTAGCTGAAGCATCCACTGCAACAATATCTAGGAAAGAGGGTTTATAGTGGGTCAGTATGTCTGTGGAAGTCAGCATATCTTTGACGTTTCAAAACTCATCTTCTTGAAATGTATCCCAAAGTCATTCCTTGTGACCTTTTAGTAACTATCTCTCGAGTTTACTCAAGGAAGCAAGAGTTTTAATAGCTGATTTATCATGCCTAAAAATCTTTGGAAATCATGTACTTAATTTTGGAGTAGGCGCCTTTGTCTTCTGTGGATCTTGCATTAAACTGTTTTCTTGTCAACGACGCGTACAAAGATGTGGATAGATTTGTTAGAAAAAACATAAATGCCCTATTGAGAGTAAGACCTTCAGCCTATAGGAATTGTCGTACAGTACTGCATGGACTATCTGATCGTTTGTTTGACTATCCTTCATAGTATACTGTCCTTATGGCAATGCCAGACATGGTATATAAAAACCGAAAGAACTGAGGATGCTGTGAATCAGGAACAAAATCAAAGTTGCTGGAAAAGCTTCTGAGGAAGCTTTTGAGGAAGGTCTGAGGAAGGGTCACTGGACCCGAAACGTTAACTCTGTTTTTTCCGGACACGGTATGTTGGAAGATTTCTGAGACAGAGACAATCTCAAATCACTGTTTAAACAGTACTTCCAAAATGAGCAAAAAGTGTTAAGCATCCAATGGGAACTGCCAGAATCTCCTGTTGGCATCAAATTTGATAAAACTTCTACTTCAGGGCAACTTGGATAATTGCATGTTGACAGTGAGTATAGTGTGGATTTCTCTCGCCACTGCTTTGTTGAGCAATGTTAAGTTGTCACATATTCTAATGGACCCTTTGGGGTTTAGGGTTAGGGTTAGGATAGGGTATAATAACCAGACCAGAGCACCACTCTGTTGGCTCTGTTACTCGAGAAATTACACCTATCTTGGTAATTTCCTGTGGCTCTTTCTAAACATGATTCATTAGATGGTGAGACAACAAGGTGCAGGGCTGGATGAACACAGGAGGCCAAGCAGCATTGTAGGTGCGGCCATTTTCT